AGGAGGCTCACCAAAAGCTAACTAGAGTGCAAAGTGATCTCAACGAAGTGCCTGTTGATTATCATGAACACATGTATTTGCATCATAAAAAGATGCAGGTCGAATGACATCAATACATTCAATGTACGAGTATGTAATAAGACTAAATGAATAAATAACTAAACCGATAAGGCTGGAAGAATACTCACCTCACCTCAACTCAATACAAAGCAATAATAAGAGATGAAATATTTTAAAAGGTTCATAAATAAAAGATGCCAACTCAAGGATATGTATATATATATAGTGGGAAGGGCATCAACCTTGAAAGTTGGAGAGAAGTGCTCCAACACAACCAAGAGAAAAAATATTGTTAGTTGGAGAAAAAGTGCTCCAACACAAAAAGCAAAAACAAAAACACAAAAAGGAAAAGAGTTGATGGGAAGGGAATCAACGAGAGTTAGAGAGAGAGTGCTCCAACACCAAAAACTAAAAAAAAACTAAAAAGAAAAGGCGTTGGTGGGAAGGGCATCAACCTTGAAAGTTGGAGAGAAGTGCTCCAACACAACCAAGAGAAAAAATATTGTGAATTGAAAAGAAGTGCTCCAATACAAGCAAGAAAAATAAATCGTGAGTTGGAGAGAAAGTGCTCCAACACTAGGAAGTTGGAGAGAAGGTGCTCCAACACAACCAAGAAAAAAAAATAAGATTGAAGAGAAGTTCGCCAATTCAACAACAATAACAAGAAGAAAAAGACAAGAGTATACAACTTTGAATTACGGGAGAATGATGGAAATAATAATTCAAAGTTGGAGTAGGAATCCTAAGTGTTTAGGATTTGTTATTTATGATTTTACTTATTCATGTTTAATTAAGATTTGTTAGTTATAGTGGTTCCTGATCCTAGTTTAATTTGATTTCTTACTTTTATAAATAGGGATATATATATATATATATATACACACACACACACAAATTGTCATATACCCTGCTGAGGTATAGAACAACTCAACTAAGTATATCTACTAAAGCTCTACTTGAAAGCAATAAGGAATCATGTAAACAGTATGATCCTTTACCCATGTTGGCTACATGTTTTATGAGGAATATGTGTTTTCTAAACTCATCCCTATATCGGTGCTCAATACTACTTCCAATAAATATATATATTCATGCTCAAATGTATAAAATATACTCTTTCTCAATTTGGGGTAATTGTTCAAATATCTTCTTAAAAGAGGTAATTGCTCTAAAATAACTCTGAACTCATTAATCATTTAGAAATAGAACTCAATATAAAAATGATTAATTTGGAAATCAATAGTTCCCTTAAACTTTACTGAAAATGTCTCTTTAAACCTTCTTCAGAACTCATCTTTACTTTCTTAAAAAATCAATTTAAGATAATTGTTCGGTTAAAAAGATTCTCAACAATTACTCAATGAATACTCAAATAACAAGGTTAATGCTGAAAAATAGACATGAACAATCAACTCAAAAATCTCAATGCATTATATATAGCAACTCAAAATTCAACAACAACTCATCTCAGGATTACTCAAAACTAACGATAGAACCCAACATTACTCGTTTACTAATAGAAAGTAGATGTAGGGTGAGAGTACGAACTCACTCCATCACTATTATAGCCTTACATACCTGAAAGAACAAGGTTCTTGGTGAAATCAACGAAATTGAGAGAACGTTACAAAATCCTAGATTTTCTTCTCTTAAATCCTTGATCTAAGTCTTTGAAGTGTTAAAGAACGTAAATTAATGTTTTAACACTGCTTAGAACATTAATTAGGTAAAAAAAGGGCTATGTTTTAGGCTTAGAAGGGGTGGGAAAAGATTAAACTACCCTTCTTAATACTTACGAAAAACCTTCTACGGGTCCATCTACAGTTCGTGGTTTGTTCTACAAACCGTATATCCAATATGTGGAATTTATATTGAATTATAAGGCTCAAAATTTCTTTCTACGGGTCCAATCTATGACCTCTGTATAAGGTTGTATGGACAATATATCCAATCTGTAGACTTTATACAATATTTGGGCTCAAAAGTCCATTCTACGAGTCCAAACTATGGCTCGTAGAAGATCCTACGGCCCGTAGAATGGATCCATAGGAATTGGACCCCAAAATTTAGATTTTTTGATGGTTTGACAGTATGGGTCGTAGTTCAATCTACGGCCTGTAGATTGGATCCTTAGTTCACCGACTCAGAAAACTCTAATATGGCAGTCTCTGGTAAAATGATCATAACTTTTTACTCTAAACTCTAAATGAGTCAAACTTGGTGGAGTTGGAAATAGGACTCATATACCTTCAATTTGATAGGTTGTGGGCCACCTAGTTCATTATGTGATGAGAGGTATGATCTTTTGAAGTTGACCTAAGTAAAATCTTATGTCAAAATTTAATCGATAATGAAACTTTCAACTCAACTTTGTGATAGGGGTTTCTTATGACCTTAAGTCATATCCAAATCCATTCAAACACCAAAGATATGACCTTTACACATATGAACAATTTAAGAATCACCCGATATGATTTTATATGCAAATAAAGAATGATTCAGGTTTTTTAGTAGTCTATATACTCTCAATCTATCAAGAACATATTCTAAATAAGTATATGAGTCTCTTGATAAATATATTATCATAATTTCATTATGAACTCAAAAAGTCAACCCCAAGCCTGCAAGGTCAGAGAAATAATTTTATTTCAAAATTAGTTCTTGATAACATAGGAGTCAGAAATATGATATTTAATCAAAATCCAAGCTCGAAACGGACTTCAACTCATCAAAATATGACTCCTCAATTTTAGGTTCAAAAAGCCTAATTTCTAACACCAATATGAATTAAATCAAGAAACAAACAATATAATAAAGGGAAAAATACCGAGTTTAGAGTTAGATTCTTACCTTGAGATAAAATGAGCAATTCCTCCTTAAAAATTACCAAAATCAAGCTACCAAGCTCGCAAAATCTTCAAATGAAGTCTGTGTTCAAATTGGAGATTTATTTCATCCATGTCTTAATTGCTTTTTGTGAATGTAGATCACAACTGCGAACGTGATCTAGTGATCCGATCTGATCTAACCCATCACAATCGTGACAGAACAATCACAAATGTGATTCCTCATCAAGAATTGACAAACTTTATGCTTTGTGAATGAGACACAAACCTACAATTATTCTTTACGAATGCGATCTAGCCCTTGTGAGCATGGAGAAGAAACTCAATTACACCAATAATTGGTGCATCAACTATGAAAAATTCTCTATTTCACCCAGCAAACTCATCTAGAAAACCAATATTCAATTAAATCATAAAATATATTACAAATTTGTTGAAACATCAAATCACCAATTCGAAGTTGTCTACCAAATATTACCATGGTCAACTCTAAGCTTTATATTTTACCTTTCAGTCCTGTATCATTTTAGATAGTATATTCTATTTAAAAAGTTATATTTAACTTGTATTCACTCTTCTAGTAATGATATTTCCCACATTTATATACTTATATGAAAACTAAGTTATGACTTGTTATTGCTATTTCATTTATTTTCGTATGATTAATTGATTTTAGTATTTCGGAAATAAATTGACTTATCTAATGGAAGGTTAGTAAAGAGTCATCATGACCCTTCAGATTTTGGATCATAAAATTACGTTTGAATATGTAGTTTCATATATTAAGAACTGAAAAATAGGGATTCATCTTGATCATAAAATATTACCAAATATATGTAATTAAAAAATATGTGATAATCAGATGTCAAATAACCAATTTAAGTAAGATGTTCGATGTAATAAATATATTCAAATTAGTTGAATGACTGAAAAAATTAAGACTATATATTCAAGAAGTCTAAGTTTTATTAAGTAGAAACTAACTTCAAGAGAGAAAAATTATCTACATTTTAAATGGGGGATTCTAAAATTATATAAAAAAACAATTCAGAAGTCAAAGTGAATATATTATGTTTTTTTTTTACAAAGAATTAGTGTGGCAGATATTTTTGACAACTTATTGTGTTCTTACACTCTAAAAGGATAAAAAAACACTAAGGTTCTTCCATTCAAGTGATGCAAGAAAATATTGAGGTATAACTTTATTGAATTTTTAGATGTAAAAATTAGAATTTTTTGTACAATCTCACTAAGCTATTGTTTTTCACTGATTCTTTTTTCTGTTGTTAATTTTTCAAAAATGATTTTCTATGTTCAATAGTTATAAATAAATTCTTTTGGATGGTCTATGAAGTTTTGTGTGTATATCTCAAATATCAAAATAAAAGGAATCCTTATTATTAACAAAATTTTAGAAATGATTTTCTAATAATAGTTGTATGTAAATTCCATAGATTCCAGATCTAACATAGTCATGCAAGTGAAATTCATTAGATCTAACAAGAGGTGAATACAATCTTTTTAATATGCATAAACATAAAAGCTATGTTATTTCCATTCTTTTGAACAATTTAATTTACGATCTAAATTTCAGATCAAGATTTAAGAGGTACCAATTTTGTGTGGATTTCCTCTACGTGTCTGGAATCTTCTTTTGTTTTTAAAATAAATTATATATAGGTAGATATTGAGTATAAATAAATTGTGTACGTGACAAATATTTCATACATTTTACTATCTAATATTGTTTTCTTCTTATATATAAAATAAAGTCCTATTAGGACTACAAATAATTTTTGAAGACCTTTAATCTATAACTTTGAGATATGTAAAGGGGGCCGCTTTCTTCCCCCCCAAAATGCCAGTTCCGCCATCAGGACCTAGCAAGAAGCATAATTCCTGTTCCAAAGCTTCGTTTCATTCCAGCAACAGTAGTCTATGGTTCGAAGCGCCGTGTTCCATCCGGCACGAATCCTCTCCATAACTAGTATAGTGGAGGTCTTACTTGTATTGCAATAATGAAAAAATGTACGAACACAAATAATGAGCAGTTCTTAAAATATAGGCTAAAGTTTGACTTATTTTATGTAGAGAATGGTGAACATGAATAATCATTGTACAAAAGTGATCGTTGATGAAAATGAGATAGACAAGATCTTTGATTTACCCATGGATATCCTCGATGAAATAGTCAAGGATATGTCATTTCAAGAATTAGTAAAAACATGTGTTTTGTCCAAGAAGTGGGTACATTTTTGGACTATGCATCCAATACTAGTTCTAGATTGGGAGTTCTTTGAAGAGAAAAGTGGTACTATAGGATTGATTGAAAATGGTTTTAGTAAAATGATTGACAACATTCTCTTGCATCATGTTGGATCCCTAGTCAAATTTTTCCTTGATTTGTCAACTATTGATTGTAATGATAGGGACCTTGACCATTGGTTGTTATGTGAAACAAGTAAATGCGTCAAAGAACTTACCCTAAAAAATCACAAACGCAAACGTTATACATTGGCTTTTTGTGTATTTGATTGTCCAACTCTCACATATCTAGATGTCACAAATTTCATAGTTAAACCACCTTCTCCCAAAGCATTATTCCCAAATCTCCTTGAATTGACCTTGAAGTTCATCAAATTTTGCCCAGACAAAGCAAATTATGTCTTGAATACCCCATTACTTTACTCTTTAACGTTCATTGCTTGCAATGGCGTTCATTTCCTCACCATATCTGCTCCTAGGATCCAGTTCTTGACTGTTCATGATAGTCATGACATTTACGCAATTTTTTTTGATAACTTGTCAAATGCTAGGGAGTTGTTCATGGTATTAGATGTATGTGAAGAATCAAAAAGTTATGAGCAAGAGAGGTTCAATACATGGTCGCGTCTTCTTTATTTGTGCTCTAACCTAACAAGGCTTCTTTTGAGTAATTCTTGCATTCAGGTGATTATAATATGATCAAGACATATTGAAATATTCTTTATTATAATATTCTCAATAAGTTTTACTATGCTTATCATATATACTTAACCATTAATGTATTTTTCCTTTTTGTTTTTCTTTTACTAAGCATTTGGGTGCAGAGATCATTCTGTAAAGGTTTCAATCCAAACCCTACCATTTAGAGCATGTAACATTGTGTGTGACATTTATGGATCTAAACCAATTCTCTGGTGTTCTTTCCTTGATTCGAAGTTCTCCCAACTTACACTCACTGGAGATAGATGTAATGTTTTCTCACTTTCAATAATTTAAAATTGAGTTTAAGTTATATAAACACTGATTGTAGGTAACCGTTACATGTTGTAGTAGGTAATATATCTTATTTTTAATATTACAAGTTTAACTTGGTTACCAGTAGATACTTTAATATATCAGGTTATAAAAATTAAAAAATATCTACAAGTAATATTTTATGGTTATGGAATTTTTAAAAAATACTAACCTTTTTTTTTGGTCTTTTTGCATCATATGAATTTTTATAGGTTGTCAATACCTTGAGTGAAGAAAACATAGATGAAGTTACACATTATTTGGAAGATCCAAATTGTGTTGACAAACGATTTGAGAAGCTTGAATTTGTGGAGCTAAGAGAGTTTGAGGGGACACAATTTGAACTCCTTTTCTTAAAGCTCATATTGGCATATTCCCCTTCACTTTCAAGGATGATTGTTGAACCTTCTGATGAACTTGATGTAGCTGAGGTATTGAATTTGTATGAAGAATTGAGGATGTCCTTAAAAGCATTACTAAGAGCAAAAGTCATCATAGCACCTCATGGTCAAGATGTGTAACTTGTGTTCAGAGGCAGATTCAGAATTTGAACAGTAGAACCCATTATCTTGGTTATGTTTATGGGTTTATAGTTTAATATTTCAAACAATTTCAGAGACTTTTACTTTCCTTTCATGCTTGAATTTTTTTATATTTTGTGGGGGTCTTTTAGGTAATGTGGAGACTATGGATGTTCTATTATTTCTTTGTATTTTTTCATTTGAAGACTTATTGTGTTTGCAATCATATGGGGTACTCCTCGGTTTAAAAAAGAAATATCCATTTCCTTTTATGGCAACATTTTAATTTCAACTTTCCGTGTGGCATGTTTAAGGCAACAATATTAAATGGCATTTTGGTTCATTTGAGAAAACATTAATTTAGAACTACAAGATTGAAATTTTTATTTATTTTATTTAACTCCGTGTCAGGTCAAACAAGATCATTCTTTTTTAAACAGAGGGAGTATTATATTACACAAGTCTCAATGTCGAAGTTCATTAATGGAAATGATGTATTGTGTATATGATATCTAAAATTCAATACTTTTGAGATTTAAACAGACAGTACCCGAGCTTGCAATAAGAATACAAAGTAAAATAATAAAGCAATTTTAGACCTTGATGTAAATTTTCTTCATCTAGTGTATAATTAGAGTATTCTCTTGTTATGCATGTCACCTTTGCAAAATACTTAAAAGAAGATGACATTTTAAACCCAAGATCCACTCAAATGATATAAGCAAATTCTACATCAACAAAATTACAAAATATGTACGAGAGATATGTTGGTTATATAAGGAAGCTTCTTTCTTATTTCGGGGGTGGGGGGGGGGTGGGGTTGTGAAGAAATGTCAAACCTACCTAACAAGTATTAGCTATCCCTGAAAAGGAGATACAGTGGTGTAGTGTTAAAAGGAATTCTCGGGTATGATTGGATATATTAGACATAAAAAAAAATCATTCTAAAGCCATATAAACTTAAATCTAAAGTAGATAATATCATTCGTGGGTTTAGATACATATAAAATAAGATCCACTATATACATGCAACATATAATTTACTTTTAAGGGTATATTATTCCTCTAACTCTTGTTGGATATTTTAAATTATAAATGTTTATGAAAATGGTTGGAAGGACTAATGATATATATATATATATATATATATATTTCATTTTGTATTATAGTTTATTATATAGATATTAATAGTGATGTACAACCTTGATTGCTATTTCATATAGACCATTGCAATATGTTGTTAGAACCGTTGCATTAGGTAAAATAAGTCGTTGCAATATGTTGCTAGAACATTGCAATAGGTAAAATATGTCGTTGCAATAGATCATGTAAATTATTATTTTATCATTAAAAAAAAACAGCCATTTTAAAAAAGAAGTTGCCCATTATAATATATGTTCTACGCCAATGGTTATAAACCATTGTATTTACCAATTATTTTTGTTGCATCAGAAGGATGAAAGAACCATTGCTATAGGAGTGTCTATGTCAACACAAAGTTACAATCATTGATCCCTTGAAAAAGTATGTAGGCAATAGTATAAGTATCATTCAATAGGATAACCATCAACAACTTTAATGAAGTATGAATATTTAGATATCATGATCACAAAGTCTTCAATTAATACTAACCTCATTAAAATATACTTGTCTCTGAATAAACCAATATGACATTCTCCTTTTATACCACACTATTTTGGGATCTACTTCTTTAGATCTTCTAGTTTTGGCCATGGAAATGTCATTATTAGAGAAATTATGCAAAGAGCTCAAGATGAATTTAAAATATATTTTTATTTTAAAGAAGTCTTTTGGAAACAAAAAATAAAATATGATTGGTTTGAAAATAGGGATGGAAAACATAAGATTATTTCACAACATAGTGGAGGGAAGACGAAAAAGGCTATAATTGAAGAGATACCAGAATAATTGGGTTATTAAATCATGAAAATAACAATACAATAAAGGAAAAATACCGAATCTAGAGTTAGATTCTTCCTCATGAGATAAAATGAACAATCTTTCTTGAAAATTACCAAAATCAAACTACCAAACTCAATAAATGTTAAGATGAGTCTATGTTAATGTAAAGACCTATCCCGTTGTTATTCAAAAGGCACCTCGTGCAAAATTCCAGAAAATTTTAAAACGCACCACCTATTTCGATTGGGGTGACATGACGAAAAGTTTGGAATTTGAAATTGACCGGGGATGGCATCATTTCATCATAGTGGGAATATTTCCACTATATGGCGGCACCCCTCTGGGGGCATACCATCCGCTATAGCGGGTCATATGGGACAAAACTTGAAAATACGGTTTCTTTTAATTTTCATCCCCTCTTTCAGTTGTAAAATATACTAGGGCCATTCTATAAACCCTCATAAGTTATTTCGAGCTTGGAGATAGCGGAGAGGAGGAAATTTTGTGTAAGAAAGCAAAAAACCAATGAAATTCTGATCTATGTCCGTAAGAATTTGCTCCCACGGAGTCAGAAGCTTGTGTTCAGAAGTATTCAACAGTTACTTGGCATCTAGGTAGGCTAGGTTTAAACGAGTAGTCTTGTTAGTTGTTGTTTAGTCTTGTAATGAATTTTATTAGCTAATGTTGACCTTATGATGATGGCTATGTGTTTTCCTGTGAAGGGTGATTTATGGTTAATCGGGTTATTAGCATAAAATGTTTGGGAAAAGTCTTTAAGGGTAGGTGATGATGGTTTGATTCCCGTTTATGTTATGTGTTCTTGTTAACTGTTGCATTAGTATTACATGCATAACATATGACTAGTAAATGGAAGGAATTTAAACTGATATGTTTTAGTGTTATCAATCGCATGCAAGGAATATGTTTACTTGGTGTACAAGTCTGATTTGTATTCATTGTGATTGTGATGTGTGATTGTTGGTTGGATCGGATACCACACATAATACATGATATCCCTTGATTGACTGGGGTACCACACCTAGTACATACTAATGGTTGACAAGGGTAACATGCTTGGTATGGATTATCCATATATGATTGGCTAAGGTACCATACTAGTATATACTAACGGTTGACTTGGATATCACACCTAGTACAATACTATTTGTGTGTGAGTTCCATGAGTTAACTTGGTTTACTTTTTGTAATATGACTATTGCATGTTTGTTCTTGAGTGTTCGAATTGGTGTATGTAAAGGTTGGGCGTGCTTTGTGTAGGCCAAGGTTGAATATTGGATATTGTAATTGATGTTGCAAGAATCCTTGGGTGGTCGGGATTGCTCGAGGTAGTGTTAATGTGATGGGTAGTGTCACGACACAAAATGGACTTGATGGCACTTGTCTATTCCCACCAAGACAAGTTAGCCCCAATCCAATGAACGAAAGAAATGCGGAAAAATAAAGTGAGAACAAGACAAAAGTAGAAAACTTATTCTTTCTATTAACACCCCAAAACCTAATTGTCATGTGTACAAGTGTAACACTCCGAAAATCTAACGACCTAAGCTAGAGCATAAATGATGACTAATGACTTAATGAGAGTAGAAATGATGTTTCAATACTTAATCTAAAGTAACTAAAGTTGTAAGAAAGTGTTAGTGCTTAAACGTCAAGAAACGACCACAACGTCTGGAAACCAGTGCATTGAACTAGTGAGGTACTAGGTCTTGTGACTTGACTTTAGAGTGTCGTAGGTGGACTAAAGTTTGAAAACAATGTAAGATTTCATGTTTAGGGTCCAAACGTCTGGGTACGACTCCCCAAGGATCACCCAAGGGGTCCTTGAGGAGGACCCAAACTTGGGACCAAAAAGGAAAGAAGAAGCTGTCCAAAACAGGTTGGACTCACGAGGGGAAAACCATGAGGCGTAGGTTACGACCTATGGAAGGGAGTCGTGAGTCCATACTTAGAATCCTCCAAGTGGCCCCCAAATCAACCCCATCAGTCCCTAACCACGATCATGTCGTACGGCCCATAGACCGACTCACGCTCCGTGGAAGGGTCTCGTGAGTTGAGACTTAGTCTCCTCACCAAGACCCTTGTCTGCACCCTCTCAGTACCAAACCATGAGTGGCCAGCACGGCCCGTGGTTCAATCCATGCCCCGTGGGCGGGGACTCGTGGATGGCACTCGAGCTCACTACCTCTATACGGTTTAAGTGGGGGTAGTTTAGTAATTTACTAATTAATTACTTAAGGGGTAAAAACGGTTATAAATAGTTATATTAGGTACTTTAGGGTATTATTAAGTAATAGCAAGTTTTCCACCTTATAACTCCAAATCACAAAAAATCAAAACCCACTTCTCTCTAAACTCTCTCTCTAAAGACTCTAGAAGAAGAAGATTACATTGGAGCTAGGGTTTCAAGGTTTCTTCCCAAATTTTCTTGGAGTTTCTCCATTGATTCTCAAGGAATCAACTAAGTTATGGTTTCTCTTCACTCTTGGGATCTTTTCCCCAAGAGGCCCTCTTAAAAGAATTGGATTTCAAAGTTCCCCAAATTCTAGGTTTTCTCTCAATTTCGTGGGTCACTTCCCAAATGTGTTTTATTTGATTTATAATGATTAATTATGGTTGTATATTATAGTTTGTGGATGAATTAATGTAGTGTTGTTGGGTTTTGAACAAATCCCCACAAGACCCATGAATTCCCCTTCTCTCTCACTTTAAACCCTAGTATGACTTTCATGGTGAATGAATGATGAGAATCTAATATGTATTTGTGGAATTAATTATGGTATTATGATGTTTCTCTATATGACGAATGATTATCATTGAATTAGGGGTTGAATCTTGATGTGATCCTTGAAGGCCATGAAGGAATATTGTTGAATTGATGAATGCTTATATATTGAATTGTTGATCCACTTATGGTGGAGGTGCTACTTGATTATGAATTGTAGTGATTGAGTTATGTTTCCTCTTCCCTACAACCCCAAATTGTTGACAAGTATGCTATGATATGAACATGAGTGTTAAGCTATGATTATGGTAGTGTTGGTATGATAAATAGAAGG